GGCTCAAAACACAATAATTTATTCTTTATATTTAAGATAATAAATCGGTGGATATTTTCGTTATGAACTAATTAAACTTATACTCTTTCTAGAAGATTATCATCAAATTATTAAAATCACACTCATAATTGGATTCCTTGCCTTTTTGTTTAACACAGCCGTCGGTGATGCACGCACACATTAAATTAATTGATTTTACTGGATTAGAAGAATAAAATCTCTAGTTCCTCTTTTTATCAAAAGAAAGATCAATCAATATTAATATTAAAATTTATATAAGAAGTTATTCGAAACCGCACTCTTTATAAGTTGCATATAACTCACATTAAAATTTCCTATAAATATAATACATGCACACACTAATTGATAAATCAACAAAGAATATAAAATTTATTACAAGTCATGCTATTCATAAATTGAGAGCATAAAGATTAAAGTCTTAAAATTCCAATTATGACAAACTAAAGTATCTTCAATATATTCAATACACCGTGAAGTTTAATTTATGATCAAATTTGAAGAGCTTATGAATAGATTTTTATGAAATTTTTACTAAATTATAGAGTTTAATTCAGAATATCTGTAATTCTAAATGAATTTGTAGTTATTTCCCTAAAGTTAACAATTAATTCTTAAAATTTAATGATTGATAAGTCTCATAAAATTTGAGAATAAGTGTGTGACTTCGTACTTTAGAAAACTTAATTACAACTTTCAAAGATTACTTAAACTTTTTAAGATCTACGTTAGGTTGTCAAAATATAACTATGACATGATTTTTCTTGCATTACACAGAATTTAATAAATCATATACATTTCATGTCTTGAAAATAATGTGCCTTATGATAAATTTTACTCCTCTAATCCTTAATATAAGACCTATTTATCTAATTTGAGTAGTTAAATTAGTTAATATGATATGTTTTTTCTCAAAAATTTTGAACATCTTCTTCAATTCCCACCTTCCCTTTCATACTTGATTATTGTTGAGGGAAAATCAACAGGGTTAATTTGTAAAAAAGTTGATAATCATGTAAATTAGGTCTTATATATAGAACTAACAACAACTTCTAATTAGGTCTTATATTAAGGACATAAGAAGTATATTTTATATTAAATACTACTATAAGTTTTCTTTACCTACACGAGAGCAAACCTCGTAGGATCAGCGCGCCGGTCAAACAAATTATCAGAAAAAACAAACAAAAAATTTGAAGTTAATGGATTTGTATCATTTTAAGTTGATTAAGATTTGAAAATGACATTGACAAAGGGTTTGGTTTTTTTATATTACTCTTCCTTTGTAATATCCACCAACCTCCAAACCACATTCAGCTTAGGGGTCAAATGATTATAAGTTTAAATCTAATAAGGCATTTTTTATATGTAGGACTTTTTAAATGTATATTGACAGCGCCTACACACACACACACACATATCTGTGTGTGTGAGAGAGAGAGAGAGAGAGAGAGAGAGGAGGTATAAAATTAAAGATTTTTATGAGTTGGTACTAAGGATTATAGTGAAATTATTTATGTGATCATTAACACGCTAAAACTTGAATTTAGAATGTATTTCAATGTGATTGAGATTATTCGGATTTGGTAATATGATTCGCTGACTCAGTAATATGACCGAGTCTCATATAGAGTAATATGAGATGCCTCAGCGAGTTAATTTTCCCGCTTCAATAGCTAACCCGCTTAGATACTTATCACCCCAAAAAAAAATAAAAATTGGAATGCAAGAATTTTAAATGCCTCGCAAAAAACATTTGATTATTGCGTAATAAGTATCATTGTTTCTTAAATCTAGATTTCGTGCTCACGCAAGAAAAATACACGAGCCATCTATATACAAGATCATCTTCATATTTGAAGAAATTATAATCAATTTTCAAGCTGACATATAGTTAAGAAGTTATTTTATTCTATAGTTTACTTTTAAAATGAAACAAATGAAATTAAACCCGGTGAAAATTGTTCAACTTAATATAACGGAAGAAGAAAAATAATTAAAAGTAAAACATGGCAATTAATTAGATTGATTCAACACTGGTTAAAAAAATTAAAAAAAAAAAAATACGGCCACATTTTAGTAGGCAAAGAGTCTTTCTACTTTTCCTTCCCTCCATTTCCATCCATTTCTCATCTCAATCATTAAGATTAAAATTTTAATGGTCTAAATTTTATATTTTAGAAAATACTTTTATAAAATATTTTTTATCATTGTTTTGAATTATCCTGACTTTTCAAAACTGGTTAAATTAAAAATAATCAAAAGCTGGAGAAACAGGAATAAGTCGGCCAAAAGCACATACCCAAAAAAAAAAAAAAATCAAAGCAAAAGGACCTGTTGGACGAAACAAAAGGATCAAAAGATGCTTTAAACTTGCAGCCTCTTTCTACATATAAAAGTTTCCATCCACAAAGCCACTGTGATCACAAATCCCTAATCCATGGGAACCTTCAATGGAAGCAAGCCTCCTTCATATGTTCTTGCCGCTGATAACAGTTTATCAGACTCACTCTCTTTCAGTGGCCTTGTCTGCATTCAAGACCAGCAATCCAAATCACCTTCTGTTCCTCTAAACCAGACCAAACAACATGATCAGAGTACAAATCAGAGCCCAGAATTTGAGTTTATTGTGACTAAACCAACCCCAAATTCTGCAGCTGCAAACTCAGTGAAGACTAAACCAAAACCTGCTAATCTGCTAATTCCCATTGAGCAACTTCGGCCACAAGCCATTTCATTTCAATCAAATCACACAGATGATCATCATCATCACACTTCATCCTTGAGTTCCTTATTATCAGCTCATCATGGCAATGGCCAGAGAGCAGGTTCTGGCAATAGAAGGAAATTTGATAGGGTTGAGAAAGGAAGAAGACCAGGAAACAAGTCTTCTTCTGGCGGGAACTTTTTCAGGACTTTGGTGTCACCATGCAGGATCTGCCACGCCTCGGACCCAAAAGTCAAAGTTCACTGACATGAAGGTTTATAGATTATATATGCATTCATTTCTCTTTATTTCTAGACCTTTCTGTCATAAAGAAATCGACTCTTCTACTCTAGGATTAGTTTTATATGCCATAAGATCGGGAAATAAGGCTTCTTGTAAATGGGTATTCTTTCTATTAATCACTAAAAGTTTGTGCGCGCGCGTGAGAGTGCGAGAGAGAGAGATGGATGTAATATTAAATGAGCTTCTGATTACTGGTTTTTTTTTTTTTAAGGCTTTTCCTACTTCATTTATTTCTCAGTTAATCTGACTCTCAATAGTTCCAATATTAAATTGTCAGTGGGTAACACCATCTGTATTCAGTGTTAACAATCAACATATAAGATTGCGATTTGAGAAGCATACCCAAACCATAGCAATAAATGAAACAATCAGTTCCTGAAACAACTTTGAAAAGGAAATATTGAACAGTAATGACACTATTATCATTCATCAGTATATGCACATTCTCTCTTCTACTTCCCTGAAATATACATATTCCAGGGTCGATCGTGTGTGTGTGTGTGTGTGTGTGTGTGTTACGGGAGAAGAGCACCATAGTCTAGTCTGTGACGCTCAGCAATTTTTCGCATCACAGAAACAGGACAAATATGGATACTAGGAAAGAATAATTAAAACTGAAAACCTAATTCTACTAAACAAATTGTAATATATCCTCTAAATATTGTATTTAGACTCAACTCACTCAGGTGTAGTCCCCACAAGCTTAAGCCACTATGCCAGGTAGTTAGCTTTTAATTAAATTTCATATAGGTAATAGACTCACCCAAACCCATAAAAGCTCGATCACTCCAATGGAATGATCTAACACAATCTGCCATGATGATGACAAAAGATCCCTCTTCCACCTTCCAATATGTTAAGAGTAGCGTTACAAATCACAAGTAACATGAACCCCAAGTAGATCATTGAAAACCGTAAGAACTAAGATGTACCATTGAAAAACTCAAGAAAACTAGCCTGACATATGATTGTTATGCTACGAATCCTCACAATCTGAGTCTAATATATCGTGAATTTTGAAACACTTCGTCATAAGACAGTGATATGTAACAAAATATCTATATGCCTTCCATCACAGACTCTAATTATTTGAAGACTAAGATAAGTCATAAATGCCACACTAATTAGAATTGTCTATCCGCATTCTATTCATATGCTAGAGAATCAAGAAGTAGATGAAAGATCATAGATCTAATCATCTAACTTCTAGAGCACTTATATCCAATCCCTACAAGTTTACTCCATAATGGAGCAGGCAACTGAGCAACGGTCCTTATAAACTTGACTATCAAACAGATGACCTTATAGATAAAAGCCTCTCTTTTCGAGTCCATGAGATAAAACTTTACATACATTTGGATCTTACATACTGCCGGCGAACTATGCAACGAAGGTATATAGGTGACATTATCGAACTTTGCCATATATACTGGTATATCCCTGCAAATGGGGGGGAAAAATTGGTCACAAAATATCAAAGTGACGTTCATTCACATCCTATCAACAATACTATCTAAAGAAGGAAAGACACTTACCTTGACCAGATTTACAATTTTCACCTGACAAAAAGAAAAGTACTTCTTGATAGAATCCTCATTTGGTGGAATTTGCTGAGGCTGCAGGGTGTTAATAATCTTGTCAACTGATTTTTTAACAATCAACTTATGTGCATCCTTGCTGAGGTGACCCTCGAGCCAAACTGGTCTTAAAATCTCTTTCACATGATCAACAAGTGCGAAACGGAAATTTCTCAGTTCCACTGATTCTATCTGCATGCCAGCATCCTTCTGAAGATTATTATCCATTTCACTGTTTTTCTTACCCTTATCTACTCTTTGTTTTTTGTACTCTGTTACTTCAACTTGAGGTCTAGCATCACGCTCAGTTTGTTCTTTTCCTATACCTTTATCCTCTTCAAAGGGATTTAGTCCCATGCCAACCCTTCCAAATTGGCAATTTAGATATGCTGCTGCTATTCTATCTGTTTCAGTTGTAACAAAACTTTTTTCATGAGGAACACAACTTTTCTCTGTCTCAGTTTTATTACATCTATTATAAGAAGATACAGAAATTTTGGCACCATGAAGATCTGAACCCTGATTTGCAGCTTCAACAAACTCACCATTTGTAGGAACCTGGGATGAAGACCGAATGGATGATCTTTGAGATAAAATGAAAGCTTTCAAAGATTCATCCCCTATATTGGGTATCTCAACAATACTGTCAAAAGGGTCTTTTTGATCTTCGACAGATGATCTGCCTGAAGAAGTAATAAAAAAAGATGGTTTGAAAGGTACGGACGGCTCCCAATCATCTGAAGAGAATTTTAATTTACATCCAATTGGGTGTGGTGGAACCCCAAATGAACCATTTAGAGCCAAACCTTCCCTTTCTGAACCAGAGAAAGGGGATCTGCTGTCATGATAAGCCATGCCACTGTTCAGAAGTTGTTGAGAATCTATAGAACTTTCACTTATGGATCCACTAAAAGACAATGAACATCCTGATCGGGAAGGAATAAGATGGGACAGTGACATACATGTAGTTGGAAGGTGAGTAGCCATGTTTACATTAGGTGAATGACTCACAAATTGGGATGTATATCCATGATGCATATCTAGCCGTTGAGTGGTAGTCATTCCCTCCGTATGTGTTAGACTGGAAGGGAAAGAGGAGACAGGCCCACTTTTATCTGGATGCCAGCTTGGGCTTACTTCTTTCTGGATGATTGGGTTTGAGGAGAATTCAGATGAATACCGAGATATTCTTTCTTGTGTAGCAGCCAACGGAACTTGAGTACAAGGCATCCTTGACCTCTTAACATCATCTCCAGTACCTGTCACAGAACAATATTTTCATTAGAAAGATGCTTACAACGCAGATTCCTGAACAACCTTGCTGCACAATTACCTGACGTACCTTCCTTTGGTTGCACTTCTCTCTTCCAATTTTGAGTAACCAATTCTCCTTCAATCTGCTGGCCGGATTTATTTTCGGGATCTTTTATATGAAGAAAACAACAAGAATTGCCCCTGATGCACCATCCTTTGGCATAAAAGCCACATATGATTTCATGACGCTTGTTTCCAACTTTAATCTCAGCATTGGGAGACAGAGCTCTGGTCCTCAAGTCAGGCGAAGGATGCCTGGCAAACCTAACAGTCAGAAATAGAGTGATCTTACTTATGCTATGTAAAATGAGCTATAGTTACACAACAACGGGTATAAGTAATATGACATATTCAACGAGAATGACCAAACCTTGATGTCATTGGGCTCATAGCATCTCCTGATTGCATGTTCAACTTCGTAATATGCTCTATATGATTTTGACCACCACTAGCCTTTTCGACAAAGCAATCTCTCTGCAGGTGGATAGTCCCATCTTTTCCAAAATCTGTCATTGACCTCGAAGGCCCAGACCTTATACCCTCATTGACATCACATAAACATGAAGTGTAATTGCAACTTGGTTCACTAAATCCTACAAAGGTTTTCTGCTGTGAAAGGGATCCAGCATTTTCAACATCAGCTTCTAATTCCTGATTTTGTCATCTTCCAGATCCAGATTTTTTCTTGATTCTGGACTACTTGAAAGTTTGCGATTCAGTTTAAAATCTTTCTTTCTAATTGTAGGTACATTATATGAAGGAACAGAAACTTTAGCCATAGCTGCATTCCCTTCCATAAGAGGCAAATAAGATGGTGGTGTCACTTCAAGGTTTCCTACTGCAGGTGAAACTGATATCAAGTTCCCTTCTGTCCTCACAGACCTCATGGCTGAACTCAAATCTTTTTAATAAAGAAAAGGATAAAAGGATGAAACTCAATAAATATATAAAAGGAAATATCCATCTCCAAATCGGGACATGCAACAACAGAATCATCGTAAGTACCTCACTACCTCCTACAAGATAATAATGGATTACTGAACTGTAGAATAAAACACGTGTTATAGAGGAATACCAATTCAAAGCAGCTGATAGCAGACGTGGCAGATAATCCAGCAGAAGATATAATATCTTACATAAGGTGTACGTGGCCCCATACAATTGAGTTCTCTTTCTTGTAGCAAAAACTTTTGAGATGAACCAGGAGAAACTGCTCCAATGTACTGGGATATAATCAATGTTCATCCAAAATATCAAATAAGGTATTCCAAAGGTACGTGGAAGTCACTGCTGGACAATGTAAAATAAATTGGACAAAGTTTCAGCTGTTCATCCAAAACTCCAAATAAGTTATTCCAAAGCAATGTCACTGCAGGACAACGTCAATATAAATGGGAGAAAGTTTTAGAGTCAGATCCATGAATACAGAAGTCAGTATAAAGGGCAAAATTGTGCCTGGCTGCAAATCAGTAACAGGCTGTTTACAATAATCCTCTTCAATATTGCTGTCCAAATTAAGGAATTAAGCTTGCAAGGAGCTTTAGGCTTCCATAATAGTTTATCAAGAAAAGCCTTCTCCCTGTAAGGAAAATGAGCAAGGGACTGAAAGTAAAATCTGTGGGTACTAATTCAGAAGTCTGTGTGCATTTATAACTTTAATATTGTTCAAGGCTACGAACAATAAACAATGTGGACATGAATCTTGAAGGATGCTACTCTTAATTGTGGAAATAAGAGTTGGGGATCAAGATCAGTACCATTTGGAAGGAAATATTACTCCATTTTTCATCAAATCTTGTTGCCCACAGCTCAAATTATTTTCCTAAAATAGTCAAGTAACTTGAACAACATTCGCAATAGCTTCATGTTCAAAACAATTATGGAAAATGGGAGGAATAGATCTATTGGAATTTAGGCAATTAAGAAAACGCCCAAAAGAAGCTCAATGAATCTATCAAACACTTATAATCAAGTCCCTAGATAGCCCACTTCATATGAATGAAGAAGTTATCGTTATCAATGCGGATTCTCCATATTGCCTAGAGAGAAAGACTTGGGAAATTTAGAATGTACGCAAGAAGAAAGCATTATCTTGGGATGAAGTGATTGATAAACTTCAACTTCAGGCTCGGCCCAGCAGCAGCAAAGCAAATCAACTTTTGATGAAAATCCTGTCAACTCTATTTCATACTGTCGGTTTTGACTTGGGTCTGACTTGCTTCTGCCGTTGGTTCTTCGATCAATCGTCCACCCTTCATGGATTCCGTCTCCGCTAGCTTTCTACCACCTCAGAACTCAAAATTGAGTTTGTGAAATTAGTATTATAGTTGACTTTGGGATATGCCTGCCTATTTAAGAAATGCTTTGTACATCGATTCAGTAGATTTGAGACGTGGAAGAATTCCACATTATTCTGCCTCTTTCTAGCATCTCGTACTAAGAGAAAAGTCTAATACAACTAATCTCATTGGTTTTGAGAATGAAAAACACCAACACACATATCGCATTGAAGTCTCCATTTTTCTGATGTAATGCAAAACTCAATTTTATTTGCTAAACAACTCATGCATACTCCTTTCTACCCTTCACACGTCATGCACATATCTCTACCAGTACACTTATAATGCAAGAAAATGATGAGAACAGTATGTAAAGATTATAGACCCCAAAAAAGAGTAGAGAATAAATATAAAATAGTAGAATTAAGAACGAAAATCACTAGAAATTCATCGACGAAGAAACCTTTCTGATCCTTGTCGGATTTATCGGACGCAATGTCAATGGCGTCGGGGCCGTAGAACAGACTTTCTGAACGGTCGTCATCATCGGCAGTGATCGGAGAAGCGATGGCTGACATTAGGTGAAGAACACAATCCTAAACCAAAGGAGGAAGAAGCAATTGCAGCTACCAAGGCACCCGTAACTGGCAGTTTTGAAGCAGAGAGCAAAGAAACAGTAGCAAGCAACTTACGTTAGAGTGAACACTTGGCAAACACCGTCCACTGTTTGACTAGCGTGTCAGACACACATTTGAAACTCAACTATTCGTCCGTAAAAACAGCCAAACAGGTTCATCAAAGGGGAAAAAAAATCAAAATAATCTACAATAAATATAACTCACTAAATTGGAAAAAAAATTTAATTTTGCTCTTATTAAAATTTTTTATTTCTCTATATTTATAAATCATTATCATACATCTCATTTTTTCCTTTTTCCAATAAAAATTAAAATTTAAAAAAAGGCATTAAATATGCCTCAAGTGACTTGTGTTTATACCAAAATTTTTTCATATTACTCTCTCATCCTAAATATAAAATCTTTTCTGTAGTGTAATTTATACTATAAAAAAGGTCTTATATTTAGGATAGGAGGAATACTTACATTTAGGACTAGAATGTATATGTCATTGAGACCTTAATCTAGTGAGTTCAAACCTAATATTGACATATTTATGTGTACGAATGTATTTAATTGTATAAAAATATTTCTTAATGAAATAATCTATTTGACTTACTCGATATATCTAAGTTGGTAAATTAATTAAGTAATTCTTGTATTAAAAATCAAATAACAGATACTCTATACCTAGTAGCAGGGTGAACTAGATTATAAGTAAAAGTGTACGTTTAAATCTTTAATTTTATATAAAAATTCATTTTAATTTTTTAAATCTTATTATAAAGTGTTTTTTATTTCTCGAATCCTAATGTCATTAATAAAAAAAATCCTGACATCAGAATTTTAAATGTCGACAAAATATCCTCAAATACTATCTTAAGTTTTATGTTAAAATTAATACTTTTCCGATTCTAAATGTGAGATCCACTTTAGAGTATAAATTATACTATAAAGTGGATCTTATATTTAAGACTAAAAGAATAATAATTAGTTTTTTTACCAAAAATAATAATAATAGTAGTAGTAGGAGATTAGAGAAGTATCATTTGACACTAATAATATTAGAATTAAAAGATTAAAAGAATCAAACTAAAATATTATATGAATTAACATAGAGAGAAGAACTTATTACATTTATTACATGAGCATTAAAGGCCAGTTATTTTACTCCTCTAGTCCTATTTATAAGACACTTTCAACATATTTCATACAAACCAAGAAAACATTAAACTGCATTAACTCTATTAAACTATAGCAACTTTCCTACTTTATCCCTATTTAATAAATATACCCCTTAAAAAAACAACAATCTACACTATAATAAATAATGAAGGACAATATGGTAAATTCATAATAAAAATTTAATAAGTGACTTATAATTAGGATAAAAAAAATCTTTTCTCCCTGCCCTATAAATAGGACCAGAGGAGTATTTGCTTCTAGCTAGATTCATCAACAAAGAGGTGAGGGAAAAAAAAGATACATGAATAATACTTATTGCTTTATCAATATCACTATAAAATAAAATTCATAGCCAATGTATTTCATAAGACATGTATTCATGTACAATCATTCTTTAAATTGATGCATTGCAAAACATGTGTATTGATATACCAATACATAATTTCGGCAAGTTATAATCACATGCTTGAAGAATTATAAATTCTGTCAGTATCAAAAAAAAAAAAGGGAGCTATAAACTATACAAAGTATGATGTCCACGTTTAGTTGGTTTCACTACAAGAAAATGTAGAATTAGCAGCGGAAATTTCTAGCGGTTCAAAAAACCGCTAGAAATGCTAACATTACTAGCGGTTTTAGAAAAAAAACCGCTGCAAATTATGACGGTTTGACATTGCCTGTACATTTCTAGCGGTTACTACTAACCGCTAGAAATTTAGAGCTAGAAAATTTCCCGGGTTTTGGCGGGAACTTTGGCGCCAAATTTGTAGCGTTTATTTTCTAGCGGTTCAGGCCAATAAACTGCTAGACACTGAAAATTTCTAGCGGTTGATGCATGAACGTTAGAAATATTTTTAATAGCTCGAGGAGTTGAGAAATTTCTAGCGGTTCGGTCCAAAACCGCTAGAAATTTCTAGCGGTTTTGGACCTAACCGCTAGAAATTCTAGCAATTCCCGAGGCACATGTGGACGTTGGGAATTTTTAGCGGTTCGGTCCAAAACCGCTAGAAATGCTCGGTCTATATATACCCCCACCCCCACTTTCACTTTTTCAATCGTTCTGGAAGCGAAGCTCTGCTAAATTTCTCCACAAACATATTCGAGTTCTGATTCAGTTGCAGATCCTTATTTTCAGGTAAAAAATAGTAAGTTATTGATAAATAATTTTTATTTTATGTTTTATTTTATTTAATTTATTATGTTGTAGCGATATAATAATTTTGCTTTTTATTTATTTATAAATAATTACTATTTGTTGTTATTAGGATGACTGTCGGCACGGGAAAGACCCAGTTGATCCTGAGAGAGCTGGACCCAGTGAGGTTCATCATGATGCTGGTGAGCCATTCCCCAGCATTCATGACTATGATCTTAGCGAGGAGGATATCCTCAGTTGTATGAAGCAGGATGATGTTGAGCGGACTGAGGAGGCTCATTTTACTGGGGATGAGCAACCCCATGCTGATGCTGATGCTGCTGACGAGGAAGAGGAGGAGGAGCAGGATCAGGGAATGAGTATCCCCAGGTGGCGCAGCGTCCTGCTCCGAGACGTCAGGCTGGTTATGAGGTGGAATTTGTCGGTAAGTATTTATTTAACTTTTTAAAATTTTGATCAGTATTAATTTATATAGAATTGTATTAATTGATGATATATAATTTATTTCTTAATTAAATTTTACAGACACTGAGGGGAACAGGTCCTATCGGAGGCTGACAGCCAGAGAGCTGGTCTATGATGACGAGCGCGGACGAGTGGTTTGTGCGCTCAATGAGTTGGGCCAACCGACGAAGAAAGGTGGCCAGTTATACAACAAGTACGTGCGCCTCCTGGTCAGTAGTGGACGCTGTTCCCCATCTACGTGCAGGACTGGAAGAAAATCACCTCAGACAA